ATTGTTGACATAGTTGATTTCTTGTGTTGTTTCTCTATTAATTATTACTGAATTGTTCAAATTTCATTTGTTTTTCTTTTTAAATTCAACGATTCAAAAGTTGTTCACTTTCTTTTTTTTTAAATTTAAAGTTGGGTCGGTATTCATTTTGCCAGAGATTTGCTCAAAATAAGGGTTCTGTTATTTTCGGTTTTTCGATTCGCTTATTTTGTGTATATATGTGTAATGTGTATTCAAATCTATAACTTAAAATGTGCATTGTTCGACACGCATGTTTTGTTGTTCTTGTGTAAATTTTATTTGATGTTCATATCGTTCTACGTTTCATACCACAAACACAATTGAATTCGATTAAGCTGTGCTTCGTTTCTGTTTCAATGAAATATTCTGTCATCACATGTTTTTTTTTTTAAAGAAATTTGAAGGGTATCTGAGATTTTTTGTTCATCTTGATATTTGTATTGGTGTTGTTATCTTCTATTTTTTTAGTTCGTTCATCAATATCAATCAAAACATGCAATTGTTGAAATGGGCTCCAAGAAAATGGGAAAACACACAAGAATTGACACCACAATTTATTTTTCTCATCGCAATTTAGTGGTATGATTTTGTTAATTTTAGTTTAATAATTGGTGCAATTCTAAATAATTTCCAAAGAGCAGATTTGTGTAAAGCATACATTTCCACAATGGGAATAATCCGGTGGCAAGGTTGGGCACAAAGGAAGATCGCTATTCAACGAATAGTTTAAATAGTCGAATTGCAAACAATCAATATGAGTGGACACACCGGAAATGAATGTTCGAAAATCATCCCCAACCGTTTTGCAAATGAAACAAAATGAAAACTATATGTGCCACAAAAGATTTTGCTGCTGATAGCAATGGCGGCCCAAAATGATGATGATAAAAAGCGCGCGTGCTCCCTTCTGATTTTATGATCAAAAGAATTTTCTATCGTTTGTATGCATCTTATTTAATTTACGTATCGTGCACATAATCCTATATAATGCCTGTTCTTAGACAGTATTCAGGGGCTGGAAGAAGGTGAGGGAGATGGAATCAAGAACCAGCGTTACAACATTAACATCTCTTGATTTTCGGGGTTTAGGAGTTGTTTTTTACACCTTTTTGTGTTGGTTTGTCTGTTTTGTTCCTTTTATCACGATGCGCGCAATTCCATGTTAAAACATCAAATGATAAAAATTTACCTAATCTCTCATGATGATTCACTTGGTTAAAATCTAATTTGGCCTAGTGCACAAAAACCGATCGTTTTTGCTAAAGTGTGTGTGTGGTTTTTTTCTTTTGTTTTGAGTATATTTTTTCCATTGCGTTTTGAAATGTTTAAAAAAAATTAGCCTATGCACAGAGGAAAACGAGATAAACGTGTCAGTTTATTTTTGTTTATTGGCAAAGACATAGTTAGATATTCCGTTGTGAATAAAAACTTCGCTTATTATGTATGTGTGATTGTGTGCTCAAGTGTTATTGTTTGCAGCCTGATAATCTGATCCAAATAAATTCCATGTTATACTTTGCCCGAGAACTTGGGGGAATAAAAAGATATAGAAATCGACGTGACGGCGGACCAACCAATTGATCCGTATGACATTTTGTAACATCTATGTTCACAGACAAACTAACATTGAACGGAAATAATTTTGATCGGAAGTTTTCTTTTTTCAGCGGTTCGTTCCACTATAACTTTGATTAATTTAATTCATGGCTCTGTTGTTATGAGTGCCGTTTGATTTCTCGCAACCTGGAGAAGGTTTTCGGATATGTAGTTAGTTTTGATTTTTTATAATTCATTTTTACAAGTTGGCATAATTGTATCAATGTTCGGTTTTGTTGATTGCAATTCATATCATACGAGCACAAAATATTTTGTTTTTTCGGCGCAAAATTCACTATTAGTCGTTCGGCGGGAGATCAGTTTGAAAGAACAAAACCAATTTTGCATCGGTTCAGTTTGTATCAAATGACAGATCATCAGCATTGATTTGAATTTTGCAACGACATAGCGGTATTGCTACACGACGCAAATGCTAATCACTGCTGTTCGCAACATTTTCTGATGTACTGTGATTCCATCGGTTTGCGAAAATCAGCTTCGCATGGACAAATACATTCAATCAACTCGAGCTAACGATAACATGGTCATTCGATTGACGAATGTTAAGCCAACCATTTTCTTCATGGCGTAGAGATATCACCAAATTCACCGATTCGCATAAAGAAACATGTTCGCTGTTCTGCTGGAACCCGCAGATTGGTGAAGTCTATTCGCAAGCAAGGGGATTGTGTCGTTCGATTCGTGGCAGAGCCATACACATCTAAAACATGTGCAAGATGCTTGCAGCTATTTCCATGGAACACACGAAGTCATCGATTCAAGGTGTGCCACAATTGTGAACCGAAGCCAGAAGTTGGATTGCCAGACATCATTGTGACACAATTGATCCGGCGACAATTGAAATCGGAACGTGTGAAACTGCGACCAAAACCTAAAGCAGGTGAAGTGGTTGGAAATGCAGCAGAGAATCCAAATCAACAAATGAACAATCGGTTGGTGTCTTAGGTTAAAGTATACCGGAAAAACTGGCGATCAATCATTGAATTAAACGTTGAAACGGAGAATGCTGCTGCACAAAAAGGAGATGAAGCCACATACGTCGAAGATCTAACCCATCTTACTTTTGAAGTGGCGGAGGCCTATTTACAACAGAGCAACGCGTCAAATCAGCGTCCAACAGGACTGAAAACAGTTTGGCATCATGATACAGTGGCTGCGAAATGCATCTTATACAAAGGTAATATTTTGATTGGCATGTAAAAATGGAACAGAAAATGTTGTTATTATACAGTGTTGTTTGTGATTTCAGGTGTTTTTCAGCTGTTCAATGGATACACTCCCGACATAATTCTACTGGATCTTGAACTCCAAATACACTTCGATGGGTACAATACATACTTGGTTGAGACGTAGTAGAACGCAGCAGCATTTTAGTTTAAATTTTGATTTTTCGATTTTAATAATAATTCATGTAACGTTAAGTTATTCTGCTGGGAGCTGATTTTGTGCCTCTGCCAAAATACCTACCGCTGTATCGGCTAGTAAGTCAATACATTCACCTATATTTTAACAACTATTTTTATTCTTTTTTTTTCATTGTTCGATATTTAAAAAAATGTTTTTCATCGCGCTTTGTTTATCCAACTAATTTAATAATCAACAACAAAAATTGGTACGTAACTTGTTAATAACGTTAAAAGGGATTTCTTTTTTTTATTTGGTTTTCTTTTTCCCCTCTCTCATGTCGGTTTTACATGGAAAAGGAAACAAACTGAGCTGCTTACTAACACCGATCCGTCTACGATTCATTGTTACCTTTATCTACTACTTCAACTAAAGGAATTTTAACTTTGTTCGTGTTTTCTTTTCTTCTCACTCTTCAACACCCACGAACAATTCAATTTATGGAAATTATTTTAACTCTCAAGGTGTTTGTTGTGCATTTTTCAAGAGAAATTTGGAATATGTTAAATATTTATCATTTCTGCCATTTTTGATGTATATGTCAAAGTTTTTTTTTTCAAATCTCTTTTCCAATGTTTCTCCTTATCTCCACTTCATGAATATAATAAACAGATTCAAATATGCGAAATCAATTAAAGCATAGAAAATTCTTAATTTTGAAATGATTCGTCGCAGATTTGGTGGAATTAGCTCAATACAAGAGCCTTATTTCCATTTACTTGTTTCTTTCAGCTTATTAAAATCCAATGCTATATTGGATATAGTATATTGAATTGCTTTATAAATATCTATGAATCTGGTTTCTGTTGTTGCTGTTTTTTGTAATTTTTCTCATACTCGCAACCATATTCATTCAATAGCAAGCTACAGTACTCATTACGATAAAATGCACTCTTATGATATATATTTTTTTTTTAATTGTTAACTTTTTTCAATGTAATCCCTTTTAACAGTGGCATTTGTTTGTTTGCAAAAATTTAGATTAAAAATTAGGAATCCAATACACGGAAATCTAATCTATTTACAAATTATAGAGAAAAATAAAAGAAATACTCAGCGACGCACGTCACCAGTTGATCGGCTGGTACACAGTACATTTCACCATTCGCTACTTCGGTCATACATTCGTTCATGCGAATCAAAGCAAACTGTGGCTCGTGTGTACGGTTTACCAGTTACAACGTGTGTGCGAAGCGGTCGAATTTTTGCGAAGTGAATTGTCGTCTTAGTTCGCGCCTTATGTACACACGTTCTAACTGGTAAGCCGTACTCACACTATACTCGCATCAACGAATATATGACCGAAGTCGCAACTGGTGAAATGTGCTGTGTACCAGCCAAAATTCTGGTAACGTGCATCGCTGAGTATGCTTTAAAAAACCACCAACGATTCACAAATGGAAAATGGTAAGCGCAAAGAAGTGACAAAATTATCAAGCAAATCAAGTGTATCAATTTGAACTGAGGAGAATAGCAATCGGATTTGCAATAAATCAAATCAGTAAAGATTGAGAAGCCAGCGAATTTCATACTCCAGGAATAATATATTTATGGAGGTCTTCCGATTCAGTTGCCCATCTATATATTGTTTTTGTTTATAGTTCGAATAATCTCTCATTGGCGGGGGAGGGGATGTTATGTAAAAAAATTTGTCGCCTTTTACATGTGTATTTGTGCAAACATAATACGAAAATGACTGAACTATAAATATATTTATATATCTTTGCTATTCTCAGTGTTGAATCGGATTTATTTTTCTTCGTCAAGTCATGAATAAATCCGTCAAATTTATCAGTGTCTGGTTCAGAAGGAGTTGTTTGTGATCATTTTGGCCTATTGTGCGATACACGTTTGTTTGTTTTATTCTTCTTTAAATTGGAAATATCTGAGAGTGCATGCTCTCGTGGAAAAAAAAGTTTCTTATTTTGTTGTTGTTGTTGTTGTTAACAGCCAGATGCCTATATGGTAGTAATTTCTTAGCTTCTAAATAATTCTCACGATTTGACGAAAAAAAAAATACAACTTATTGTATTTGGTTTGTTTTTGTTTTGTCTCTAATTGTTTGTATTATTTTTGGGGTCTGAATCGGTTTATGCGAAAAACTCCGAACCAGACTGTTCAATTATTTTCACACTTTCAGCGAGATTGAATTTCGGGGCTACAGTTTCGTCTCAAAGAACCGCATGATGCTGATGATGCTGATGATGCTGATGAAGTGTTGTTGGCTGCTCCAAATCAATGTCTTCTTCGTCATCGTCGTCGTCGTCGTCCATGTCTTGATCGATGTCATCTTCGGTACAATTGATTATTAGATGATTCAAATGCGGCGGCACACTCGTTGGTGGTAGTGGTGGCTGTGGTATTATAATGTCGTCATCACTGTTGATGCCATAATGTAAACTACCCGATAAACTGTTTCCACTTTGCAAATGACGTCTACTTGAACCTAAACCTGAAAATGAATTTAGTACTAATTGCGATATAGTCTTATTTTGGTGTTAAATTGCCAATTGGTGTTTAATTTAAACATAAAAACAATAATTGAATTTGGATTCTATTCCGTTTTGCGGGAAATTAACCGAAAATACCGTGGTGCAATCATTGATTCTAATAACATACCTGTAGCACTAGTTGTTGAATCGTAATGACCACCACTTCTATGCAAGCCCAGTTGGCGATGATGATGCTTGCGCTTTTTTCTCCGATGATAAATTGTACATACGAGACAAATTAGGAAGGAGCACGCGGCCAGGCTTGATATTATAAGGATTTCGGATTCGTCCTTTCTCACTTCCCCCCCACCTTGGCCGATGGAAAAAAATTAACAAAACAAAAAATTTACGGTCATTTGTCAAATTCCATTTCCGAACAATTTTTAAAGAGCAAGATTTTGAGATTTATCGAACAGTTTATCGAAGTTGAACAGAAATTACGGTAAAAAATTAAGCGGTAAAATGCCTCGATTTAGAGTCAAATACTACGACATTAATTTCTCTTTCCTTCTCTATACTTCAAACCACTGCATAAGCATAAAACGGAAGTTTTCCTTGAGACAGTGCAATTAAGAACAACTCTCATTTGTGTTCAGGAAAACTGAGAAATTTATGTGAATTAAGCTGTGTATAAACAATTAAAATAAAAAGATTTAAGACAAAAGTAAAATTATCGAAAAAAGAAGTTAAGGAAAAAAAGGCAAACAGTGAAAAATCGAGAAAAGATAATGAAAAAAACAAATCATAAAAATTGAACTAAACTGTTCGACTCACTCACGACTCACAGTTCATTTCATCCGAATCGTCACCGGGCCCACAGTTCTTGATGCCATCACAGTGAAGTTTGTTGGAAATGCAATAGCTCGATACCGCGCAATGGAATAGATAGGTTGGCTCACAGTGATGTACGATACTTGAAGGAGGCCCACTCAGTTGTATGCTATCTTGAACTTCGGTCCAAACGATTCGAAAGCCCTACCAAAACAAACAAACGGTTGATATTACCACATGTCAATTTGAATCGCATAGTCACTTAATCGATAGAAGTGGTCTTTGTTATGTGAATCGTTGTATACCTGTGCGCCAATTGTTTTGTCAGTTGTTATAAAAGCTAAACGTGCACTTTGGCCGCTGGAAATGTAATGCCACACTTCACTGGACGCTTTGTCACCGCACAATTCAATGGGCGCTATGTCTTGTTGGTCAGGTGTTGTCCAGATTCGCAGTGCTGCTGCCGGACAACCTCGAGCTGAGTTTTCATTTTCCGAGAACAAACAATTAATTACGTTCAATGGATGACATAAAAATGGTTGTAAATCATTTCAATTTAATTGAAGAAGTAATAATTGCACGGAGAACATACATGGTGGATCTCCTTCGACCGAGAAAAATTCGATGCTTATGGATACACGGAAACCATATCGACTGTTGATGTACCAATTGCATGCTCTTGAAGCAAGACCCTTTCCCGGCCCATCATACTTGGCTACAAATACAAAATCAATTTAGTTTCAGGAGAAAAAAAAAAACAAACATCGTGTGCAAATATTTACCTGGATAGTTTGGCGAGGTTATTATACCCGATTCTTGGCCTGAATAATTTCCACCACAATCGCCTGCAATGTGAAATCAGTTAATGAGTAGAAGCGTTCTTCTTTTTTGTTCGTGTGCAAAGAGGTTACAATGTATGTTTTAATACAAACCCGTTACAGATTTGGCTACTTCAAATACGTAACGACCCTTGAAACCACTTGACACATTTTCAGCATCGGTGTGAAGATGTATACGGACTCCAGTTGCACCGCGTGGGCTTTCAACTACAAGGTAATAAAGCATAACATTTTACGATCATTTGAAGCCGATTACATGTACAACAGAAAAAAACTCAAATACCTGGCCCGGGCGCAGTATTGCCGCAATAGCGACCGAGGAAACGATCATTGCCATCGCGAAATAATACATAAATCTCCAACCAATCCTCCGAACAAGCAGTTGTACTGAAAGTGATATGCAAATGATGGTTTTCGATTTTATCGAAAGGTTAAAAATGAAATACAATTCATTTTGATTTAACGTGAATTTTCCATGAAATGAGTTTTCGAGAAGGGAAAAAAGAGGACATAAGCTTACCCATAAGCACCGCCAGTCACATTTGCATTATCTGCTTTGACTTTGAAGTGATCGAATACAATGGTGACTTGTTCGTTTGGTGTTGCCAAGAATTTGTATGTACAGTTTGTATCTAAAAAGCATTACATGTAACATTCGACACGCGTTGATTTAGTAAAATTTATTAAACACTGCAAGGAATGTAAATTGTTGTTTATTTTCTGCCATAATTTTAACCTAACCTGATATATATTTTGAAGGAAACCTTGGACTGTTGAATTCGCCTTTCTTACGTGATGTACTCTTGTATGTGAATGCACAAGATCCATCTGGCGCTGCGGTGCCTGGTATTTTGTATTCCGTTTCAAACGTATACTTTGCCTAAAATAAACACATTTGTTTATGCTTTGTTTGTTCATTTAAAAAGAAATATTTCGAAATTTTACCTTAAAGCCTCTAGCTTGCAATTCACCCGAACTGAATACCATTGCCAATCTAGGCCCATCGCTGACCACATAGTGAGGAATATCGTGGCCACATAATTCATAATCAAATTTATCGTAGGCATCTTGTGTTTCTTGACCCTTCAAAAATATCTTTAAGTAGCCATCTGTACAGTTCGATCTGGAAATATTTAAAATCTTTTATGAATAGAGCCCGATCGATAGCCGGTTGCAAATAAATAATTCCAATATTCATACTCTTTATCCTTATCCTTATGTTCTCCTTTTTGAATTTCAAACATTTGAAATTCTAAGCGTACTCGTTCCAAGTGTTGTGCATCTTGTAGACCGTAAATAAAATACCTGAAATGGAAATGAGGAAGAATATAAATTGTGATTTGTGCTTGGGTGAACACAGAACAAACGAAAAAGTAGTAGAGAGAGAAAGATATAAAACGAAGAGCCACTGATTATATGTAGCATACCTGCAAACCGTTTTTGGTAAATATGGAAATGGGTAGTTTGGCGAATAAACTAATCCCGTTGATTCTCTCTTTGATAAAATTTTTTGATCGCATTCGGAACCACGAATATGCATGCCATTATTTAAACCTGAAAATGAGATAATGGAGAGATTTTTTTTTTTGGTGAGCACGTATGGATGTTCGGGGCCCGCATTTAACCACAATTTTGTGATATATGTACATATGTTTATAACACTTACGTATAAAGTCTAATTTAACGAAACTTTCACTAAATTCATAAATTCCTTTAAAACCACGGTTTTGTGTTGACGCTGTTCGGCGTAATGTAAAAAAATGCACTAACAAACTTGACTCACTCGAGTATAATACTAAATTTCTTTGTTGACCACAATATGTACCAATCAACTCAGACGAATTATCGGGACCATCATACACTTTTACGAAATCGAATGGGCAACTGTTAAATGATATATCAATCAAATAAACGAACAAAGAAAGGAAGAGAGAGAGAAAACGAAAACACATTGTAATGAATATCATTGTCTTTCTATTTCGCAAACAAATCTGTTTGTAATGAGTCACGTAGGCAATATCTATCAATTTTTTTTTTCTATTCTTCATATGTGTTTATACTTACTGAGGTCCTCCAAAGAACAAATCGAAATCCCGAAACTCGAGACGGACACGTTGATTCGATTCGCCGATAAAATGATACGTGCAAGACAAATCTTTGGGATAAGTTCCCGGATACGTTGGTGAAATAAAAATGTCGGATTTGTTTTTGTGCGGTGTGATTGTGAATGAACAGGGTGACCCAGTTATTGGCGTTCCGATTTCGAAAATTGCTATACAAATCAATGAGGTGAGGTGAGGAGAGAAAATGAATTGAGATGTTAGAATGTATTCTAAAGTGAAAATCCGAAACGGCAAAGTAATTTCTAACATTTCTTGACGTTTAGTGAACTGTCATCTTTTCTTGTTGATCTCGATTGCTGATATGACGAATGAGATAACAAGAACTAAAACCAAACAAGCAATGGAATGCGCACCAAGTATTGGCATTTCATTCAAACGTACAGACATAATCGCGTACGCGACAATGGCTATCAAACGAATAATAATGGTACAGTGCAGTGCCGAGTTAACCAAATTTGGTGCCCGAGGCAAAAATGATTTTGGTGCCCCTTGCAATTTTTTCCCGTTATATATACAAATAATTATTGATAAAATGAACGTACATATCGAATGCGAGCGGTAGCGAGCAAATTTTTTTTTTTTGAAATACCATTTTTGGGGCACCAAAAATATTTTTGGGCCCATTTTTGGCTGCGTGTTTTCTTTTTCAGATTATTAAAAAAAAATCCCATGCTTGTGGTGCCCCCAAGAACGTGGTGCCCCCAAGAACGTGGTGCCCGAGGCAACTGCCTCATTTGCCATATGGCTAACTCGGCGCAGTGACAACAGAATATCTGTTTTTAAGCGTTATCTTCTAATTATCTGCAGCTATCTAGACTTTGTGATCAACATTCCGAAGAAAAAAATTGGTGAGCCTTTGAATTTGTACTTCCCCTGAAAGTATGTTTGAAATTTTTTGATTTCACCTGTTTTTGGAATGTTAGTCACAATCTCAAAATAGTTTCAACTGATTATTCAACGCTTAGGATCAAATATTGTGTTATCTGAATGTATTCACTGGAATGATAGATCGAACCATAGCGCACTCATCAAGTCTCTTGATGTTTTTTTTTTGTATAAATTCTCTTCATATAATCATATACACAATTGGAATTTTCCTTTCTGTATACGAATCACAAGCGAGTGACCACTGACAAATTTCACAGCGGCTACTAAATGAAACAAATCATATTTTATGTGATTTTGCGTCAATGTTCCAAAAAAATTTCTGGTTCAAGGAATTTCAATTATGAAAAAAGATAGGAAGTGATTTCTTGGAAATATTTGACAACGAATTGGGTCGATGAAAATTGGCACTCACCAGCATTTATAAATGAATATCGACCCGTAAACAATTCAGTGGTCGTTGCGTTCTTGCCAGTGAAAAACGATAAAGCGATAGCTCGATATAATGATATGCGCCGTCGTGGTAGATTTGGACCGCAATATCGTCCGCCAAACGGTGAATTGATCAAATCAGCTGGATCAGAGGATTGTACTTCCGAGTAAATATCCATATATTCAGATCCGCAACTAGATTTATATAATTGGAAAAATATATTAATTGTGATGTGTAAACTAAAAAAAAAGAACAACAAACCAAGCATGAATATGTCCTTGCTTGGCTTGACCGTTCAATTAGACGTATTTTTAATACGTAAACAATTAATTCAATACTCACGATGGGATTTCACCGACTGCCGCTCCACTACAATGATCGATTAATCAAAATTGAGTTTCCATACAGACGATTAATATCAGCAATGAACCAATGAAAAAAAAGGAAATAAATTCCAAGGAAATAATTTATGTTTTTGTTTGAATTGAAGAGAAAATAGACTAACTCTGGTGGTGATCCGCGCAAATTAAATGATGTAAAAACGATTTCGACTCGTTGGCCAGGCCCAGCCAAAAATATGTACAAACATTGCCGCGAATGATTCGATACATTGTTAATTACAGGAGCAGCAAATGTACCATTGCTTGAGCCACCAGGACGAGACACAAAGGTTTGGTCACACTCTGCACAAATAAAATAAAATGAAACGAAAATCCAATGAACAATCAAATTAGAACGAATGGCAGATAACAAATATGGTAAGTATTTAAAATGAACATCAAAAACCATAATAAATGGTAATCGAATATTGTGGAGTTCCTAGAAATCAGTTCAGCATTTACCTCATAATGTGTCATTGGTTTTTATAGATTTGCTTCGGAATATACACATAACAAAAATATCGGTTTCCACGAATTTGCACATATGGGGCAGAGTTTATGGATATATCGATTCTCCATCAGCGCATAGATGGTAATCTCGGGCATAATTGACATTTGGCCAGAGAATCGCATAGGCATACGGAAAATTGCCGCTTTGTTTCAACGCCGTTTCCACTAAATGTTGTCTGCTAGCGCAGCATCTACGGCAAAGATGCTTCCAAAACTCGTGGATACGCTCAATAAATAATAATGGCCGACCAGAAAAATAAAATCATATAACAACGGAAACAATTAATTAGCAAATGGATTTTTGATATTTGCCACTCATTTACGTCATTTCATTGCTAAAACGATGCGCGCGCGTTCCATAAACATTGTCTTCGCAACGAAACATTTTGTCTCCCCAAGACTCGTGTTCAGCTATTTGTATTTACACAACTCTCCGCAGAGATATCAAGTAAAAACTTTTTTTTTCTGATTTCAATTCTGTTAGAATCGCCACTTTCGATACGAATAAAAGTTTGATATCACGAAATTCGCGTTTTTATAGACACAATCTACATTTACTATGTACGAACTATTTCACTTGACTTCAACTCTCAGCGCGTGTGTATGTGTGTTTGTGTGTGAGTGTATGAGTTTATGTGTTTTTATACAATACATATTTTATAAAATATGATTCTCGTACATTGCAATTCACGTGAAATCTATACAAGTTTTTTTTTTCTACAACTATATCAACGTTTTTTTTTTTTCATTTTCTGTTTGGTTTGGAGCTTTTTGTTATGAATCGATTTTGTTTTTTCGTGGCAGCTCAAGTGGTTTTCATAAAATTGTTGATTACGTCATTTGTTAGCTTTTTGTTTACACACATATATATATCGTTTTTTTTTCTTCACAAAAATAAACATTTGTAGAGAACGTTAACTTGAGTTTTGTTAAACTATGCATAAATCCGCGATACCCTTAATTAAACTGACTTGAAGTTTAAATTCATCATTAAATGAAAGGACGTTTGGCTACATGATGTATAAAAACGTTTCATCTAAATCTAATACTCCTCACTTATGTTGTTATGCATGTACTTTAAATGTGAACGATTTTTCGTTTCCACGAAAATAGTTCATTGTTTTTTTCATTATTATTTATTCATGTTACTTTTTATTCTTCTTCTCTTTTTTGTTTTGTTTTTTTTTTTTAAATATCTTTTATGTTCAATTGAATATAAAAAGTTCAGTCTATTTTTTCTGCAATTGCTGCTGTTTATTGTGTGCTTGCTCTCTTGTCATTAAATTTGGAGCTAGTATTTTACAACATTTACTAATTAATATTCAACATTTAAAAACTTAACAATTTTTTATAATTTTTTTGTGAGTTTTCTCTATTTATTTATTTATTTATTTTTTTGGTTTATTATTTTGTATTTATCATTGTTAAATGTCCCGTATTCATTAATGGTTTATTTTTGAATTGTTTTTTTTTTTGTCATGCTTTGACTTAAAAAATAACCTCTACATGAAATCTCTATTTTTTATACGATGTTTGAGTTTTGGTTTTATCTTCAATTTGTTTTATGGTTTCTTTGTTGATTTTGACTTGATTTGTCGCTGTTGTTGTATTTAAGTTCCATTCTTCTATAGACCTTCTTTCTATAGAGTAGTGTCTCTAAATAGAATTTATTTTAGTATATGTGTATATTTTATGTATAACACTTTTTTTTTGGTTTTAACACGGTTTGTAAATATGAACAATGAACATCACTAACAGCCAACAGTTATAATTTATAAGTGATTCATTTAAAGAGGTACAAGTATAAATACCATCAAAATACACACATTTATTTAATTTTTTTTGTATTTTTATGTTTTTTTTTGTATCAATTGTAACTTTTTGGCATTTTTTGTTGTTGTTCTCTATTTTCCCGGTAAAATGCTGGTTCATTTCAGTTTTATTGTTTGAAGATTGCTTTGAGAATTGTGTTTTGGGACAACATTTATGTATATATGCTAATTAGACTGTTTGTCTGGTTGTGTTGATGGAGTTTATTGGACTCATTAATCGAAGTTCATTTAAAAAAAAATTTCCCCTTAATTCACATAAAATCCGTTTTATGTTGATTTTTATTCGATTGAACTGTGTGTGTGTGTGTGTGTGTGTGTGTGTGTGTGTGTGTGTGTGTGTAGGCAACGTATGCGTGCAGATTCCAAATGTAAATTTTATGGAGATTATATCGTAGCTTGATTTACTTGGGCCGATTTCCTGTCATTTCGTTTGGCCAACTACATCTCTCTTGCTTTCCGCCATCCTCCAAACTCTTTTTCTCTTTCTCATTCAATCTATTTGCTATCTCCCTTTCTCCGTCTCATCATCCCCGGCGATTCAGCATGACATAAATCATGGTCTTTTTATTAGTCTCGTGCCTTATAGTATATATGCTTTCGTGTCATGTGTATTGATTTTTAGCACATTGCCTCGACGTTGTCGTTCATTTGGTAAAAGTTGTCGCTTTTGCTCTTGATGCCACACTTTCCTTTTTTCTCCCTCTCTCTCTCTCTCTCTCTCTCTCTCTCTCTCTCTCAATTTTTTTTTACTTTCATTCCCATCATTTCGTCCGTCGCTTGGCTCTCATTGTGATGTTTGTATTAGTATTTTGTGCACGCATTTGGCATTTATCTCCATTTTCCGTTTTATGTGTCAGTCATTTTTGTGTGTATCGGTGTTTTGCCAATATTTTCGCCTTTGAGGGTTCATCATTTGTTTGAATGGATTTCATTTGAATATGTTTGAAACGCTTGGAATTGAATGCATATAGGTGAACCTAATATAAGCTCAGATCGATGAAAAAAAAACGGTGATGAGCCGTTTCATTCGTTCACTTGCCTTGCCATCTAGCTTTCAAATCTCACTGTCTTTGTTTGCCAGTGCGCACACAAATCTCTGTGCCCGCGGAGTATCATCTCAGTGTAAATAATGTCTATCCGTTTTGTACACGTGTTGCCAATAATAAATATGACGAAGAAGACGAAATGTTCGACGCGATGGAGAGCGAAAGAAAGTACAATTCGAAGTCGGCTATAATAATGGATTTATTCTGTATTCAAATCGACGAAGCCCGAAACAATTTGTGTCAGATTTTATACAGGTTTTCGCTTCTTCTTCTTTCCTGTTCGCTTAACACGTCATTAGGCACCTTTTTGTTGTTTACCACATGCTTAGCAGCCGCTGGTGTATCAATCAAAATAGAATTTTAACAAATCTCACTCACTCTTTCTTGTTTATTCGCTCGCTTCATTCAGAACGTAATGAGTACATATATACATGGTGTTTGGGCTTTGGGTGTATAACCCAAAGAGTACATTTATGTGATCACACATTTCGGGAAACTATTGCCTGAGTTTATTCATTCAAGTTGGGGCAACTGTTTCGTTTTTTTTATGCAGAACACTGTGTCTCTTCCTTTTTCCATCACATTGTACCTCAAACCCGCGTCGATGACGGTATGATTTTATTTCCAATTCGCTTAGATATTAGTCGAAAATGCCATTATTGAATTATGTTTATGTTGATGTTCTTGTTCGGTTTTGACTGTGTTTGTGTACATTTTTCTTTTCATTCCTTTCATTCGGATGTTTGTAGTCTTCTACGGAGCTTTTGTCATACCTCGAATTCATCATAGTTCCCAATTGTAGAAATTAATCTGGAAATTTCATGCCAAGGCGGAAAATACCAAGAACAATGATTTTACATTCATGGCGTGTGTTTGTCTACAAATGGTGAAAACTCTATTATATTGATATTTAGCGAAATGAAATACATGTTGCGATTAGATGTTCGATTGTAAATACTGCCATTGAAGTACACAAGTTTTTTCGATGGATGAAATTCGCGACTCCATATTTCACACGCTCAGCCGTATTTTTCCAAGAGATTCCAAATAGTTTTACAGTTGTTCACACATTGCGACCCGCAATGCAACTGTTCTTGTAATGTTCGCATGTAACACTTCGTGCATTCAACTAATGTAGACGCTTTAAACATAGTTACATTATTCTTGGATGTGATGTATCGTATTATATTTTTTTTGTCCTGTCAACTTTTTGTTTCGACTGTTGTAATACTTCAAAGATTATTACATCAAAGATACATTGGGTGAGTCGAAATTTTGTACTCTCTCAATGGCGTGAATGCCATATGCGACATTTTCACGGTCTGTGTGTATAAGTAGATCATAAAACAAGTGTCGAACGTGTTTCCAATTCATTTGTGGCCCAATTTTGACGCAGTTTATGCTCAGAATGATGCATGGCTTCGGTATTGTTCTTTATGTCGTTCCTGAACGTATTCAGCACGATTAATATGTGTAGTAGAGAGAGTGAGTTTATGATGTTAAAATGATTGCAGGAGGCGAATGAAGATTTTTTTTCTCGAACGGATATTCTGATACGGAATGTTTTCGGGGTCTGTCTTCGGGAAGGACATGTGATATCAATAACGGAGATGAAGAAAAATTAAGCGTCTCGATAATATGTGCATGTGTTACGGCATCTGTGGCGTTCATCATTATATACAATAACCATTTGCATATTGATGATTTTGTTCATATTTCATAATGCTGTTGTGCATCTGTGCTCGCCGAAAAAACCGAGAAAGAGGAAGTGTGTGAGAAAGTGTTTGGAGTATAATTTTATTGTCATCGAATCACGTTTTTTGGCGATTGTTCAAAGTTGTTTGCAAACTAATTGAGATTGATCTGATGCGTCCAGCTGATTTGATAAATATATTAATGATTGAAATGGTGAACGAAGCAGTTTGAGTGGCTTCCATGCGCAAGGCATACAAAAAAGCAACCATATAACATCCAATTGAGCTCTAATTGCAGTCAAATGAATGAAATTGTTGAGAGGATTCGAAGACGTCTACCGTTGCGTAAATGCCAATCGGATTGAGCTCCAATTCAACATAGGCGAATGTGAATCGAAGCCATTGCACGCTGTTCTGTTGATTCGTTTCTTCTTTTTCTTTGTCTTCTTCTTTAGTACGCACACACTATCTCGTTCGACACACGTAAACGGTGCATTAGCAACGTTTTGGAGGCCGGTGTTATCCATCGGTTGGATAATAGCCAGGCCCCAATTGAAGTTTATCTCACTTGGGCTCCTCGATCGTTTGTCCAACCACTATGATTATAATGATGAATACGGCCAACAAAACCAGTATACAACAAATAGCTACGGCAACCATTGCACTGTTACTCATATATGTGACTTGATGTGGCAACGTCTTGGATTATCTTTATCGTATATATGTTAATTCAAAGGATCTGATGTGCTCCTTGCAATCGGTTTTACTTGCAATTTTTATTTTTTATTTGTTTTTTTATTATTTGCTTTATTGTAATTAAACCCGGTTATTTGTTAATATTTGGTATCTCTTTTTGTTTGTACTTTGTGTCGCAATAATCACTTGTAATTTTTGTTGTTGTTGTTTATTTTCACTTGATGACTTCTGATTTTGTCTCCTTGAATTGTCTTATAGCAATATTAGTACAGGCCTTCTTTTCGCAAGGATCTTGTTATAATACGTTGATTTATCAAACATTTGTTTTGGGTCATAATGCTTAGTCTAAATATTAGGGGGCAATATACAAGCTCTTCAATTTTTCAAGTAAGATTTAAACGTTTCAAAAAGTTTCAACAAAACGATCCACTAAAATGATTAATCACTTTGCTCCGTCAACTCCCTCAAAATCAAGTTATTTTATTTTGTTGTTCGTTCATCAAAATCAAAACGATTTTGTGTGTGTGTGTGTGTGTGTGTGTTTGTTTGTTTTTATTGCACTTTTGAATCTTTGGATTGTTTTGGATATTCCGTTAAAACTGTAAATTAAAAGAGGAAATTAAATATATATCGTCAGTCGCTGTGTGAAATTAAAATTTTCGGCATTTCATGGATTCACAACGTTTCAAAGTTGGTTTGGCAATCAGTCAAGCGGAAGCGTCCCAAAATTTATGCCTGTCACATAAATTCCAAATGTGCTTTTATGCTGTTGAATTTCAACAAAGCCTATACGTATATTTGTATATATATCAAACGCAAGCATTTATTATGACTTACATACACACATTAGAAATGAATGGAAGCTGTTGTGAGGGTTTAATTTGTTACGTCTGCTTTTGGTTCTTGGGGCTTTCACATGCCTCTCATTCCATTTTCATTTGTGTCTGTGTGTGTGTGTTGGGGTGTCTACAATGTGTAATACGGTACGATGGCGAAATTCAAACTGATTTGAATGGAATCTTTTTTCTTTCAATCAAATTAACGATACGGTTGGTTGAAAATTTACAGAGGAAAATAACGTTAAAGTAAATTTTGTGAATAATTTTGTTGTTTGGTTGCCCTTTCTCTATCACTCGGTATCTGTACATCTTTCCGCGTAACAATTAATTGAAAGCAAGTCTATGTGGGGGAAATGTTTAGGTACAAAATTCGGGAGTAGATTAAATTCAAATATGTACGCATATCTCGAGAGAAGACGTGTTGGGATGGTGCCGGAGTATATTATATCATATGTATAACACACAATACTCTTCCACTCTCGTGATTCTTTACATACGTCAAGTGGAATAAACGGATCAACTGGAGAATGATAATTCCGAATTGAATTGACTGGCTGCACTCGAAAACTATTATAAATTTTGACTTTCATGTTCCATTGTATTGTCGAGAGTATGAGCTAGAATTTACAGATTCATTCGAACATGTTCTGTTTTTTTCAGCGAATAAGTTCTATTTCAAACCTATCGAGAATTGTTGGTAACGGTACACGGTCAACCTATTGCAAGGTTTTTTCTGTATATGCGTACATGTTGAATGTGTGTGTGTGTGTGTGTGTGTGAGAGAGAGAAAGAGAGAGTTTTTCTCTTTCTTTTATTCGCAAGCTGCAAAACGATCGATTTTAACTTTGTGGTGCTCTAAATACTGTTGTGTATTTGTATCTATATAGAAGTGAAAAAGCGATATTCATCATTTAGTTGTAGGGCAGCGGACCTGTAGCCTGGATGATAAACGTAAACTTTTGATGTTCAACTTTGGAAATGGTGAAACTTTGGAAAAACTTGAAAATCATAAACAATTAATGGCTTTAAAACTTTGAACACAAATTGCCAGATTGAAAATATATATATATATATATACAGTCACTCACAAAATTATCTGTACACCTCACGATTTTCATACAAATTGGC